GAACCAAGAAAACAAGCCAGAGGCCAGTTGTGGTGGCTCACACCTGTAATCCTAGCACTTGGGAGGCTGAGGCAGGTGGAATGCCTGAGCTCACAGGTGCGAGACCAGCCTGAGCCAGACCCAGGGCCAGAGTGAGACTTCATCTCTAAAAAATAGCTGGGTGTTTAGCCGGGCATTGTGATGGGCCCCTATAGTCCCTCCTCTGGAGGCTGAGGCAAGAGAATCACTTGAGCCCAAGAGTTTGAGGTTGCTGTGAGCTATGACACCACGGCACTCTACTCAGGGCAACAGCTTGAGACTCTGTTTCAAAAAAAAAAAGAGAAAGAGAGAAACAAGCCAGAAATATCAAGCGAAGCTGGGTGAAATTGCCCCGAAACATTCGGCCGCTGCTTAGTAGCTGTGATTCTTTTGTAGTGGCCTAGAAGGGACCATTTTGAAGAATCGTGCTGAACTAAGGTCCCCACAAAAGTGTCCTGACTCTGAAGAAAGTAAATATTCTGGAACCTTCTGCCTCTTGAGCCAAACCATGGGCATGTGCAGAAAAGGCTTAGGAAAAAATGTACCCTGCTGGCTACTGTGAACGTGACTAAGAGGAAGAGACCCAAAAGATGTGACTGAGGTCTGCGGGTCTGGCCTCTCATCTTACAGGTGGGAAAGTGAGGATAGTAAAGTTAAGGAACTTATGTAATGCCACACTTGGTCAGAGGGCCTAAACATCTCCGGCTGTTTAACCTTAGCCATGCTACTTCTCCCTGGGCCTCTGTGTTCTCATTGACACCACCAGCAGGTCTCTCTCTGCGGTCCCTTGCAGTCCTAATGTGCTTTGACTCGGTGGAGTCCTGTTTAGGACACCTGTGTTCCATCCCTAGCCTGGACACTGACTCACAGTGTGACTTTGGGCAAGTCATTTTTCTTCATTGAGTTCCTGAGACGTTTAATCTTACAGAGAAGTAACATTTACCGTCTATGTGTGAACCAAAGAACCCCGCTTCTCCACCTAGACATCACCCATCCTAACCAGAGCCCCCGCTGGCATCTAGCCAAACTCCTCTGGAAAATCTCCTAGGTAAGAGCTGTCAGATTCCTCAAACATCAGTCAGAAATAATAACAACAATGGTCTCTGGCATCTCTCTGATGCTTTGTGGTTTACAAAGCTGCCTGAGTTCAAATCCTATCACCACCTTCTAGTTATGTGCTCTTGGGTAAATGACTCAATTTCTCCGTGCCTCAGATTCCTCACCTACAAAACAGGCACAGTGCCCACCTCACTGTGGGTGAAGAGTAGATATTAGCACTTAGAAGAGGACCTGGCTCACAACGATGGCTCAACACATCATCAGTTGCTGCTGTTACTGCTACTTAGCTCCTCTGATGCTTTGCCTCATGCAATCCTCACATTTTATTACTCTAGGCAAATATAGACAAGGTTCTAAAGCTTCCAACATTTATAACATACAAAGATTCAGACCAAAGGTTTTCTGTCCAAACCAAGTTTTCTTTATAATAATAGCTTAGCAATTTTGCTCTAGGCAGCGGAGTGGGTTAGCTCTCCCCTGCATGGGATTTAATGGAGAAGGGGCAGTACGGCTACCTTGGGAGGACTGGCTCTCATACACAAAAAATTCAAGCTGGGAAGAGACTTCAGTGATCATTTAGTCCTAGGCCAATCTTTCTATTTCACGGATTAAAAAACTTGGGACCAGAAGCATGGGATGTCTTAGACACAGCCTTGCAGCAAGATGGCGGTGGGGCGGGACCAGTGCTTGGATCCTTGTCTTCCTACTGGTTCCTCCTAGGACTGGTTCCTCCCCCGTGGCTGGTAGGGAATGGGGCAGAGAGTGACCACCAACTCCCTCTGCTTTCTGAGAAGGGTTCAGAAAAGGGAAGGGATGGGAAAGGGACAAGACTCTTAGTAACAATCCGAGCTTCTAGACCTGGGACCTCCCCACCAGCAGGCCACAGAAATGACAGTGGAGCCACCCACCCTGGAATGTCCCCATTAGCCCATACTTGCCCCAAAGGTGACTATATTTGGAATGATGACTGCACTTGTTCAGCGGATGTGGAATAGTAGTGTGAGTCAGTAACCAAGAGCGGTTCCCACTCCAAATTCAGCTGAAAATCCCTACTTTCATGCTTCTAGGAAGCCTCCCTAAACTGTTCCCTCCCTGACTTCCTGGCCACTCACAGAATCTCTCACTTGCACGTCACACACCACTCTGTGTTGATAATTCACCTCTGCTCACACCCTGTCCCCTGACAGCACAGCAAGCCCTTTTAGTAGGGGTGAGTCTTCAGCTTTCCTCAGGTGCAGGATAATCACAGGAGGGTTATACCAAAGAGCACCCCACAAAGATCAGTCATCCCGATCTCCTTAGGTAGAGGAAACTAAGGTGAGGAATGGCATTGCCCCAACAATCAGAACTGTTTGCGGTGGAAGGTCAGGGAAAAGAAAAGACACCCACTTCTGAGAAACTGGAAAACAAAACCTTGCCACAAGTAGCAATGTCATTAGAGAAAAAGATAGGTGCAGATCAAGAGAGGAAATTCTAAAATAAACTTTCTTCCCTCCCCCAATAAAACCTTGGAATCCATGAGACCCATTGCGAATATAGATAAGCCTCACTCTCCAAAGAGAGGAATGTTTTTTTGTTTTTGTTTTTGTTTTTTTTTTTTTATAAGAAACTAGGTCTAGGCTCAGTGCCTGTCACTCAGTGGTTAGGGCACCAGCCACATGCACTGGAGCTGGTGGGTTTGAACCCGGCCCAGGCCTGCTAAACAACAATGCCAACAATAACAAAAAATAGTCTGGTGTTGTGGTTGGGCACCTGTAGTCCCAGCTATTTGGGAGGCTGAGGCAAGAGAATCACTTAAGCCCAAGAGTTGGAGGTTGCTGTGAGCTATGATGCTACAGCACTCTACCGACAGCAACACAGTAAGACTCTGTCTCAAAAAAAAAAAAAAGAAGAAGAGACTAAATTTAGCTATATTGTCCAGGTTGGTCTTGAACTTGAACTTCTGGCCTCAGTGGGGCCTCCTCCTGCCTCAGCCTCCAAAGTAGCTGGGACTACAAGCATGCACCAGCACAGTTGGCTGGCTCAGAGGGCATGCTTTCATTACTTAGTTCGGTAGTTGGCAGAGTTGTTATTCACCTGTTTTAGCAGCTTTTTCCATTAATTTCTATTTTCCTCTCACTTTTCCCATTAGTTACAACAAGAAAAGTTGGGCCTATGTATTCTGGAAATAATAAGTAATAAAGATGCTTTATATAGACTATCTCAAAATTGAACATCTGAAAACAAGATGTGTCTGCTATGAGGTTATTTAGCCATATAGAGAGGGTGCCAAAAAATATGCATTTTAGAAAGGAAAAAAACTGTATCAAAATTACAATATCCAAGTCATGTTTGACTTTTGTGATTACAAGAGGTGCTCATTGTGACTTGTACTCATCTTTGGTTATTAGTATATATTGAGTATTACAATTTTAATGCAGTTTTTCCTTTCTTGAAATGTATATACTTTTTTTTTTTTTGAGACAGAGTCTTACCCTGTCACTCTGGGTAGACTGCTGTGGCATCATAGCTCACAGCAACCTCAACCTCTTGGGCTCAAACGATTCTCTTGCCTCAACCTCCCGAGAATTACAGTGTCTGCCATAACACCCAGCTATTTTTAGAGATAGGATCTGGCTCTTGCTCAGGCTGGTCTTGAACTTCTGAGCTCAAGCAATCCACCTGCCTTGGCCTCCCTTGGGCGCAAAGATTACAGGTATAAGCCAATGTACCAGGCCAAAATGTGTATACATTTTTTGACAACATCTGTATATGTGTGTGAGCAATTATGTGCATGTGTGGCCTTTGAAATGAATTAGAACAACTGATTAATAATAAATGTGTGTCGTATTTTATAGAGACACACAGGTATCTATGTGAATATACAGATACGGACATTATTTCCAGTTGCCTTCTGGTATTAAGTTGGCATACAGGGCAACTTTACATAGTTGCATCAGTATCTATTTCCATTGTATATATACTCCTCTATGTAGTTATGTCTATAAATTTTATATAACCTACTTCCAGTTGGCATCTATCATTGAATTACAAATATGTATGCATATATATTGATAATGTGCTCATGGCATATTTATGTTAGAAATAAAAATGCCCCAATACATATAAAACTTCTCATTTTCATCTGTAATTCAGAATAAACCTCTAACTTTTCATTCTGCCAACTTAGATTTTAAGGGAATATAATTCCCTATTTTTTTTTTTTTTCCCAAAACAGAGCCTCAAGCTGTCCCCCTGGGTAGAGTGCCATGGCATTACAGCTCACAGCAACCTCCAACTCCTGGGCTCAAGCGAGTCTCCTGCCTCCGCCTCCCAAGTAGCTGGGACCACAGGCGCCCGCCACAACGCCCGGCCGTTTTTTGGTTGCAGCCGTCATTGTTGTTTGGCGGGTCCGGGCTGGGGATTCGAACCCGCCACCCTAGGTGTACGTGGCTGGCGCCTCAGCCGGTTGAGCTATAGGCGCCGAGCCAATTCCCTATATTTTAAGGAAAAAAGTGTGTTTCTTTGCTTGCTCTCTTTAAGTCCTTAAGTCAGAAGGGTTGCCTGAAATGAAATCAGTTTATATTTCTTACTGGAAAATCAATAGTCAACTTTTGTCTTCTAATGCAGTATAGGATCTAAAGGATCCTGTACATTCAAGGCAGTTGCACAGCGCTCAGAAACCCATCTCCCACTGGTACCAGACCTTTTGTCTAATGGCAGCAAGATACAACAGACTAGCAGACTTTGCAGAGCACCGAGAAGAGTGTCTTGGGTCCTGCTAGGTGTGGAATCAGCACTGTCAGCATTTCCATTCCAAACCCTGCACCGACATGTTACTTGTCTTGCAACTCCTGTTTGCAGCTGGGTCCCAGGGCAATGGTGAGAGCAAGAAGCTGTTCAGATGTGGTGCTCGAGGTTCAGGGACAAAGTCAGATACTTACCATATGCTGTCACTGCCTTTGTCCAGAGGGTTTCCCATGGGGTCGTAGTACACATCCACGCTGAGGTTTCGGTCTGTGTCATGAGCTGAGCTGAAGTTGGTGATCACCCGGGAAGGAATCCCCAAACACCGCAGCGCTGCAAGCCAAGGTCGGCGTGAGGACTCCAGTTGTGGTGGAGATGGGGCCTCGTGTGTCCCACTGCTGCCCACTGACCCAGCAAAGGCACATCACGCCCAAGGTACCTGTGTTGAGGGTTCCAGCAAAGACCCAGCACTGGCCATATCGGACTGGCTTGAAGCCAGAGCTTTTCCACTCCTTGAGGATCTCCACGCTGCCGTTCCAGTTCCTTGGGTCTCGGCCACCCGAGTAATTGCCGCTCCAATTTCCAGCAAGCACACCATTGTCATCATTGCTGTTGATCTGGGCAGAAACCCCACGTACAAATGCACACACACAAATGAATCAGCACCACGCTTCTCCTATGGAGAGTGACGTGCAGCGTTCAGAGGATAAGGTGGGGAGATGAGGAAGGAAGCCAGGAACCATGGGGTGAACTTTTCTTTTTCTAAGTGACTTGGGGATGATAATTGCAGCCACTAGCCCTTAGGGGCATTGAGTGATTTATGATTTTAGGGGTGTCTTGCCAACCAGGCCGTGTTGGGCTGCTCTTTATCCATACATCAATCCTGTCCTGCAGGCTGACGTCGGGACACACAACTCAGCTTGTCCATAGCAGGGCTTGCAGAAAAGAGCTCACCGAATACTACTAGTGTCTGTCTGCTTGGGGTCCATGGTTTGAAACTCTTTTTTGGACTACTGTTCTTTAAAAAGATCATTTTAGAACTTAAGCAACTAATTTCATGGAAAGAGTGAAGATAGAATATTGCTTTTGTTCAGTCAGTCATCTATGTGTTCATTCATTCATTCATTTGACTTAAAGCACGATTCTAGTATAAGTAACACAACTGTGATATACTGCCAAAAAGAATGCTGTCCGAAGAATCAAGAGATATGAGTTCCATTGCCTTTTACAGACACACACCAGAATATTTCCAGGTGACATGATACTAAATGATGTAATGTCTGGGATTTATCAAACAATCCACGGAGGAGGGGGGCAGAGATGACTGATACTGGCTCTGACCAGGTCATTGCTGAAGCCGGCAATGGGTACACAGGAGTTCGTTATACTTTCCTCCTAAGTTTTTGTAGGGCTGAACTTTTCTATAATAAAAAGTTAAAAGAGAAAAGCAAGGAGGAGAAACTGAGGTTACAAGCTCCACCTCGCCACTTGACAGCTTGGTAATCATGTGTGTCACATCACCTGTCTGTGCCTTAGTTACTCACTTTCCACTGCAGGGAAAGTTAGAACAAAGGCTCTTTGAAGTGACTTCCAGCAGTCAAGTTTCAGAGACTAGGTAACTTTGTCGTCTCTCCCAGCTGTGCAATGAGAGGCTGAACCAGGATCTCCCAGGGCGCCCCAGCCTGTGAGTCCTGCTCCTTCTCTGAAGCATCTATAAGTGGCAAGGTCTATGAGAGTGGACAGTCTGGAAATAGAAGGGTTCTTGCCCAGGACAGGCTGAGCTCAGAGTTTTGCACCCCTTCCAGGAGGGCCTGGGCTGTCACCATAGGATCAGGCAAGACAGGCCTCCTCCAATCTGGGAGGCTGTGCAGCCTCTCCTGTCTCCTGAGTCATGGCACTCCAGCCACCAAAGTGATAATCAGCAGGTCATCTCTGGCTGAAAGCGGAGCAGTTCAAAGCACAGGCCATAATTAGCTCGTGACCCAACCCAATAGGGAGGTCTGGAGGGAGAAGTGGGGAGGTGCAGCTGAGGAAATTGGCTCCAAGATAAAGTGATTTGGCCCCAGGGTGAGAGTGAGTCAGTGGCTGCAGGAGCCGGCAGGCCTCGCCCACTCTCTCCTGGGCCCAGGGAGGTTCACCTCCCTAAATGGCCCTGACCTCTGGCTTCACCTGACCTCTGCCTTGGCTTTAATTCTGCCTCTTCCCAACCATTCAGTTTCAAGGTTCAGCTCCAGGCCTACTTCTCCATCCCCTTCTTGGGCTGTTTTGGTTCTCACCCAGATCCTCAAGGCCCAACCAGACTCCTTTCCTTTGAGGCTCAGTTTAAGACTCAACTCTTTCAAAAAGCCCACCATGATGATCCCCAGATATTTAGCATGCAACTGAAAGGTTGTTCAAATTGCTAACCAGGTATCTAGCTCGTTAGTGTGGACATTATCCAGCTCAGAAGTAAAGAGACCAAGAAATGCCTAAACCAAGAACAACAAAACCACAAAGGTTAAGATATTTCTAGTTAATTAGTTTAAAAGGGTTAAAGTAGAAGAACTTGTTTTGTTAGCTTTTTAACTTGTAACTTTGAGTAGGTTGAGCTTATGTTTTGATGCTTTTAGACAGAGCTATTCATTCCTCCCTGGGGACCTAGCTTGTCTATGTGTGAGTGTGTGTGTGCGTGTGCATAGACGTACCGTAAGGGGACAAGTCCCTCACGTGGAGGGACAGGGAGGGTGGAAAGAGGCCCTGGGCATGCAGCCTGAAGCCTTGTTTGGGTATGAGCACAGGCTGCGTGCCTTGATTGTTAGCCTCTGGAGCCTGTCTTCCCCTCACCTACATCACGGCAGAGCAGCCAGCTGCACTCCAACTTGACATTCACATGCTCTGGGGTCTGGAGGAGATGGTTTAAACCAAAGAAGGCTACCACTTCTGGTTCACTAGGGCCTTGCTAAGAATTTCCCAGAGGCCCAGCAATGGAGCAGAGGCTCGTTTTTGCGTCCTTCTGTCCCTGGTGTTCACTCAGAGGGCAAGTTCCCTTCTCTGAGAAAGGCTTCTCAATACAGCAGCAAAGGCTTTGGAGCCAGCCAGACTTGGTACAGTACTGCCTCTGCCATCCACTTCTGTTGCATATCAGACAAGCCCTTTCACTTAGAGGACACTCATGTTCCAAGTTGGCAAAAGGCAGATGTTCCAGCCACCCACTGCATTTGGTGAGGCTTCAGTGAGAGGTGACGTATGTCAAGAGTGCATGCTGAACCCGTAGATGGTGTTCAATCTACAGTAACGAGTAGTTATTATTGTTTGCCTATCACTCACCATGGCACTCAGCACCCGGCCAACATATTTGGGGTCATTTCTGCGGGACACATCAGTAGCAGGGTCACGGCGGTAATTCAGACTCCTATCCAAGATTAAGAGGCAAATGGCCAGAATGTCGTCTTCAAACTGTTCAAAATGGAACCATGTGTTATAATCAAAGAAATGACAAGTAGTGTCAGTTAAAAATGGGTATGGGAACTGCCACGCTGGTGAGAACCAGCGGGACTATGGGGTCCTTTCTCTCTGTGGCCTCCAGAATGGAGAGCTATTGAGGGTACCTACCACAGCCACACATTAACCTTATAAACCTATCAGAGTTCTTGCTGCCTGTAACAGCCTGTACTGACTCTTCTGAAGTGAACCCGAGGGAGCCTGGTCTACCTGACTCTCACTGTCACTCACTCATGGGCAAGTGGCTTATCAGGGGGTCCAACTTGTGGCCCATGGGCCCCATGCTAATTTTGTGAAGACAAATTGTTTATCTGTGGTGTTGGATGCCACGCAAAGTATGCATGGACCTTTTTTTTATTCATCAGCTTTCATTAGTGTTTGCGTATTTATTTACTATGTGGCCCAAGTATCTACTATGACAACCCTCATTCTTCCAGTGTGTGGCAGAAAGGAAAAGGTTGAATACCCCTGCTGGTCTGGCCTCAATTTCTCCATCTGCTTAATGAGGGATCAGGCCAAGCTCATCTCAAAGTTTCCTCCAAGCTCTGATCATGATCTTGAGCGTATTATTTAGACTCCTACAGAACTAGTTATAAAGACGAACTATTGTGCTAAAAATATCTATTTGAAGCTATTTTCACAAAATGAGACTTAATTTAAATCATTGTTTCTCCAACTGAGAAGGCCAAGCTCCTCCTGCCTTCGGGCTTTGCACCTGCTTTTCCTCCTGCCTGGAATGCTCTTTCTCCAGCTCTCTGCCTCCTCAGGGCCCTGATCAAAAGTTCCTTCCTAGCAGAAACCTTCCTAGACCACACCATCAAAGATAGCCTCTCTCCCATTCCTAGGGCATACTCTATACCCATACTCCCCTCTTTTCAAAAATGTCTTCCAATATATTTTGACATAGAAACCCAACATATAAAGGAGACAGCAGACTTGCTCTGAACTAGGGGTCTGTGGCTGGACCCAGCACGCATCCTACTGGACATCCACGGCCCAGGCCCTTCATTCTAAGGCCTTTGCCTCCTGGGTAAAAGAAAAGGTGGAGGACATTGCTGAATGGTATTTTCAGCTCAGCAAACCTGGGAACTCTGTGGACTCAGATGGGGATGGCATAATAAAGGACCAAGAGGCTATGGATTTGAAAGGCCGAGTGTTCACACCAAGGATATATTGCCACCTTTTTACATGGCATGAGGAACAGAAGCTACATTACTGTCCCTGAAGTATCTGATGGGTCTTATGCTTATTTATGTATTACGGCACCATGATACTTAATATTTCATTGGGCTGAGTTGTGTGTGTGTGTATGTGTATGTGTGGGTCTTGCCACCCAGGGCTTGGCACATAGTAGGTGGTCAATAATTGTCTTCTGAATGAACAAGTAAATGAATAGAAGGGCAAGCAGACAGAAGTGGAACCCTCCAGAGCTTTGGGGGCAGCACGGACTTTATCCTCAGCCTCCTCATTCCCCTTTTACCTGGCCAAAGTTCCAGCCAATCATGTTAATGCGATTTGTGCTTCCCACAAACATGGCACCGGAGTCTTCCTGGACGTACTCTTGTCTCTCAGCCTGGTTACTCATAAAGACACTATCCACTGTTTGACACAAAAAGCAGACAGCAGGGACTAGAATCCTACAGATGATACAGCAGTCAGTCCTCCTCCCACACTGGGACTGGCCTGGGGTGAGAGCAAGCCCCACCGTTAGCCCTTCTTCCACCCTTGGGGGGATGTTTCCAACTTTCACTATGGGAAATGTGAGCTGAAAAGAGAAGCTGGGATGATCTGAGGGTCTGAGAATGAGACCCCGGGACAGAGCCCCTGCTCCTTCTGGGAGGCAGTGGTGTCCACACTACAGAATTGTACTGTAGGAGTTATCTCGTATAATTCACCACATCATGCACTTTGTAAAAGCATCACATGATTTCCACAATAGTTGCAGAGGAAAATAGCAAGTTGTCCATGTTATGGTGAAGGATTTGAGACTCAGAGGGATGGAGTGGCTGCCAGGCTCAGGCGGCTGGTTGGGCGGCAGAGCTGCTAACTTCTAGCGTCTGTGCTCTTCCCACAGCCCATAGACTTCCCCCAATCAAACCTCAGCCAGGGATGATCAGCCCCACCCCCAACCCTTGGTTGTCACTTAGGTCAGGGTTGGAAGTGTGGGTGCGTAGACACCTACCATCCAGCCAGGGGTTAAAGAGCAGTATGAACTCGCCCAGCGTCACAGCAGAGGTGCCACCCTGGGAGGAGATCTGAACGCTCAGCGTGTAGCGCCCGATGGGTGCGTTGGCAGGACTGGAGATGGAGACGCTTAGGCTATTTTCATCATTGGCCACGAGCAATGCACTCCAGCCACCGCTGCTCCCACTGGAGAGCTGAAACACTGCCTTCGTCATGGCAGACTCTGAGGGGGACGGTCCTGCCAAAGAAGACAGAGGGTGAAGGAAACCATGGAGTGCTGGTCAGACTGTGGCGACAGATCAGGTTCCAACACATTGGAAGACTCGTGAAGAGTCTTGGAACTTCATCCAAGGAAGCACCACGTTATGGTGCCAGAAGTAACAGGAGTGGCCATGAAGACTTTGACTCTCAGCCTCAGAGATGGGCAGCAACTTGCCCAAGGTCACACCGTATCAATGACAGACGCATAGTTCCAGGGTGGTCACCATCACCCCTGGATGCACAGCCCAAGGCCTGCTTGGGGGTGGAGGAGGCAGGTACCTATGGAGGTCATGAACGTCAGAGCTTCTCCAGAGACGAGACTTCTGTTCGCCATCAGGACTATGCCAAAGGCCGCGCCTCGCCGCACGATCAGCCCCCGGCTGGAGAACTGGTTTGTGTGATGCTCCCACCGGTTGGCGCCTACCCGCCAGTCGACATTCTGGAGTTGTAAAGCTGAGAGACAGAAAGGAGAACATGAAGTCCTGGGAGGCGAGGAAGGGCGGTGCAGGGAGAGGGTATAAGTTACCAGAGGGGTCAGCTTCGGGGTGAACGAACTTCTAGGAAAAATCACATGAATATTCAAAGATCTTGCTTGACTCTGCTTAGCAAGACCATCAAACCTATCCCATTCACGCTTTCCAGATTCAGATGCCCCAGCTCAGGAGATGTGAGGTCCCAGACAGCCAAGCCTCTCCCAGTGCTGTTCCCACTGTGGGAGTGTCTTTACCCCTCCATCTGGTGAACTGTCACTCAGCCTTTAAGGAGTGGGACAGATGCTCAGTGAAGATTCACCCAACCAGCCAGGAGAACGGTGTCACCAGAGCACCTATGTTCTGTCTGCATGTAGCATTTCTCATTGCTCACCCTAGCCCAGGCCTTGGTACTGTGCCTCGGGCTCCTGCCTGGTCTGGCCCAGCCTGTCATGCTGCACCCCCCCAGAGGCTGCCCACTCACTCGCTCAGGGATCTGGTAGCCTCCCTAAACAGCAAAACTAGCCTGGACAGAACCTGTAGCTCTCTGGGAAGAGGCAGGATCCCAAAGAAGGGAAAAGGTTATTAGCCAGGGCAGGAAAAAAAAAGTTGGATGGGACCTTCAACAGAACTGGGGAGGAGGACACTTCCAACCCCACTAGCCTGTTTGGCTTGTTTTCTTATCCCCTTGAGTCTCCCCTGACACTAAGAGCCTCTCACCACTCCAGCATCCAAGAATATTTATTTGTGTCCTTTACCTGCTCTGTATTGGCCGTACCTTGGTGTTGGCTTGGGCCTCTGGTGTTTGGGAGGATAATGGTGACTCTGAGAAACAGGTCCAGGCCTAGAGACTTAGGAAGTCCCTTGGCCCAGGGGGGACCTGCAAATCCACACTGACAAGCTCTGTATATAGGAGCTGGTTGAAGGCCATGATATCACTGGGTAAGACCCTCAGAACAACTGTCTCAAAATCCATTTTCCATGACTGCTTCTCACTCGTGTGATTGTGGAGGTGATGAAGCTAAACCGAGAAAGGTTTACGGCTCCCACAGAGTATGAGGAATGCCCATATAAACCTTTTGGGAAATCTTATTCCTCCAAGTTTTGCTTGAGTGTTTATATCACCCATTCTCTGAAAACCAGACTTGTCTCTATCTTTATCACGAGGCCATAACTATTGTGAGAGTATGATACAACATCCCAGGGCCAGACACAACTCATTTTTCCACGCATCTGTCTGTCTTCATCAGAACGTGCCTTCTCTGTCTTTATATTCTGATGCCTAGCACACTGCTTGAGTGTACTGGGATAGTTCAAGAAATGAATGAAGGAAGAAATCAATGAACAAAGAAAGAAAGACTAGGCCTGGCTCAGCGCCTGTAGCTCAAGCGGCTGGGGCGCCAGCCAC